GCAGCTGTGATTCTGTCAAGCAACCCCCACCCCCCACCCACCCACACACACTGTCTGACCCGAACTCTGCTGAATTCAGTCCTGCGTGTTGTTCTGCTCCAATGTCAATTACCACTGCCTTCAGGTGCTTCAATTCTCAGTTGTCCAGCTAAGGACATTCCATCCATCCATTTATTTTAGATAATAAATTGTCTTTTCAACATTTTGATCGCTCTTATTTTGACTAATTAGTGCCGTTGTTTTTGATAAGTGATGCTAATACACATCAAACATTTCACTCATCTATATATATATATATATATATATATATATATATATATTTTTTTTTTTTTTTTTATTATTTTTTTTTACTGTAAGCGTTAGGGGTGCGAATCTCTTGGTGTCTGACGATCCGATTCGATTCAGATTTTTGGTGTCACAATTCAATTTTAAAAGGATTTTCGATTCAGAAACAATTTTTCTATTGAAATGGTCATACATTTTGTTTCAGTTATGTAGCTGACAAGCTGAAAAGATTAAACAACAATGTAAACCAATAGACCATTTATTTAAAAATAATTTTAGGTTCCTTACTGTATCAAATATTTTTTATTCATTTTATATTTATACCAAAAATAGGAAAAAAATATAGGAGTGTATAAAATTCTGTTTTTAGTGTTTTTTAGTAATTTTTGGTGTACAGAGAAAGGTGTAGAGGCCACCTCATGTCCACTAGGCGACGTGCTGTCCTTTCTGCAGCAGCTGATGGACAGAAACTTGGCGTCCAGCACGAGTAACATATGCTGCAGCCATCTCTTCCTGCCACGAAGGGTTCAGAGACAGAACAGCTTTTAATCATCCGCTGATGAAGCGTTTTCTAAAAGGTGTACAGAAACGCAGGCCTGTTTCACGTCCACTTGCTCCACAGTGGGATTTAACACTGGTCCTGCGAGCTCTGATCAAAGCTCCATTTGAGCCTCTGGATCAGGTCCCAATTAAATTATTGTCTCTTAAATCAGCCCTGCCATCCGTTAAGAGGGTGAGCGATTATCTGCCCTCTCTGTCGCTCCATCATGTCTCAGAATTCAGGATGACAGCAGCTCAGCTGATCTAAGACCAAACCCAGCTTTTATGCCTAAAAACATCACAAGCTCTTTTAAATCAAGAGCCATATCGTTGGAGGGGTTTTCCCTTCCCCCCACAAATCAGAAGAAGAAGCGTTTTTCCATCTTCTCTGTCCGGTGCGGGCGTTGACGTGTTACATAGCGCGCACAGCTGCAATGCGTCAAATTCAATGTTTGTTTGTGCATCATAGAGATGCATCTGCAGGTCGCCCGTTATCCACCCAGCGCTTGTCACACTGGCTGTGTGAGGCCTTTTCTGAAGCCTACAGAGCATCAGATTTAGAGCCTCCTGTCAACCTCAGGGCACACTCGATCAGGGGTATTGCATCTTTGACTGCTTTGCATAATGGTATGACAATGCAGGATATTTACACTGCGACCGCGTGGTCAACACCCTGCTCATTTATTCACTTTTATCTACGTGATGACGGCTCATTCCATGACACATTCTGTCCTTAAGTGTTTACAGAATGAATGTTATTCTTTCATGGAACGCCGTTTAACTCACATCTGTCTGCATGCATTACAGTGTGAGATGTTGTTATCAGTCACAAATTGTGATTGTTATTTTGGTTCTATTGTCACTAATCAGTTCACGACTATTGTTACCAATCAGTTCATTTGATTAATAATCAGCTCTCCTGTTATTATTGATCTGTTCATACTGTTCAGCCGTAAACCAGTTGGTTCATGGCTTCTTTTCCCTCCCCGTTGAAAATTTCTGGGGCGTTCATGCATTCAGAACGCATAGTTACACAACATGCGTCTGTGCATGGCACACATATTTATGCAATGCGTAATTATGTACATGGGGAGCTGAGTGACAAGATGTTTTTTGGGCAAGCTTCTGCTTCATACGGTGTTCGAATGGACCCAGTGAGGCGAGGACCACATCTGCTTCACCCTTAACCCATCAGCGACAGCCTTAAAAGGCAAAGCCTATAAGAAATAGAACGTTGGTTACGTACTGTAACCCCAGATTCTATGAGTATAGGCGTAGCCCTTTAAGCGTCAGGCCTCACTGGCTCCTAAATGGCTGAAGAAAAAGCTATTTGGGAGCCGATTACCCGCTCTTAACGTAATTTATACGGACCGGGTGGGGCCCACATAGCAGGTGTGCGTGGACTGAATTTTTCAGTGTGATGCTCCGCATATCGGGATAAAAACCATCAGCGACAGCCTTAAAGGGCTAGGCCTATACTCATAGAATCTGGGGTTACAGTACGTAACCAACGTTTTTCACGATCTGAAAAAAATGATCAGATTAAGTGTTTACATGCGCACCATTAGGATTCTGAGTCAGCGTAAACCACATGTCTCATTATCCTGATGCATGCTCAATAATCCAGGTAGAAAAATCTAAAAAAGTTAAATCTTGTCCTCTGGACATTCAAAAAAACAAAACAAAGCAAAACAAAAAAACAAAACAAAACAAAAACTCCACTCCACAGACTGGGCAACGATTTTTTTTTTTTTTTTTGAATGTCCAGAGGACCAGATTTAACTTGTTTAGATACACCTGTCTCATTCTGATTACAAATTAATTCGGATCGAGCTGAATCAACAAAAATAATCTGAATGGGGCATTTACAGGACACATTTTTATCTGAATGCCGTTGAATCCGATTACTTATATCCATGTAAACATAGTTATTGATCACTATCATCAAGCTGTCCTCCTGCTCCATGGAGCAAAGTGCTCTGTGAACATGCAAGACTCTCATGTTCTGCACATGCAGGGGAATTCTCTTCTGGGGGGGGGGGGGGGGGGGGGGATTCCCTCCCTCCCCGTTTCATTGGTTCAAATGTGACCTGTTTGGTAATTTTGTAGTGAACTTAACCTGATGTCAAAACTAAGCCTAAGGTCAAAACCCTTGACCTTAAGAACCTTGTGGGACAGGAACTGTCATTTCATTGATTTGAATCCAGAAATACAGGTTCACCCATCCTGAGACTCTCTTTCTTGAAAATCAAGTGAAAGAACACTCTTTTTATTATCATTACTATTTTACAAATGTTGATAATCAAAGTGTCTTAGTTCAAACCATTTTAGATGTTGCAGTGAACTAATCAATTTTATTAACTGTGAAACAGTGTAATGATTTTTTAATGCTTATGCAGAGTTAGAATTCATGTTAAGGTCTGTTACAGATTTTTATGCATTTTCTGATTTCTGTCTTTGAATGAGCAAGTGTGCGTTTTCCAAGGTCAGGAGTCGAAGCAGACATGTGTTGGAACAACTGTCTTGTTTACATCCTCTCAGACGTCAACGGAGGAGTTGGCACCTGTTTCTAAAACTCGCCAAAACAAAACTCTCTCTGTCTCTGAGAACAGTTTAATCTTTCCATAACAATTCTTGCTGTTTTCTGACTTCTAGTAACCTCTTACATCACAAAACACACCCCTGTCTGGTTGATATTACCCAATCAGGGACGCTCAAATATACCGGAAATAGAGCTCTTTAAAATGCCGGTACTTCCTAGTTCTCTGAGTTCGGTGAGGCGCTGAGAAGTCCTGAGACGTTCGCAGTTCTGTGAAGTCGTTTGGGAGAACAGAAGTCCAGCCATGATAAAGCTCTTCCGAGTTGGATTATAACATCTTCCACCTCTGAGTGGAACTTCTGAAGGACCCCACTCATGTGAAGTCCACTTGCTGATGTGAGCTGGTGTCGGACGGAATCTCGTCACTACTTCAGACGAGTCACAGCCATCCTATGGAGACGCTGGACAGGTAGCGTTAACTGGACCTCCATATCTGCTGATTAATCTTCAGAAAGGTAATGAGTCAAGTTCCCTACCAAGCGTACCGAGGAAAAGCTGGGTTCGGATGGAGAGTGTCGGTTCTGGTCAACACTTCCCCTCACATACCATCTTTTACTCCCTTTAAACTTCATTTCCATCTTTAAATTCTTCTCTCAAGTAGAAATCCTTCCAGATAATTTAGAAATGTCTGTGTAAAGTGCTCATCCACCGACGTGTGGATAATTGATCACAATTGTACAGTTTTCATTGATGTCTGCTGTTCTGCTGAAGAGTGGAAACAATCGCCGCATTGTTTCTCACCACCTGTAAAGCTGTTAATTATGTTGTTATTTTCATATTTTGCCAAATTAATGTAAATGTTTGATGTTAAACTTTGATTCTGTAAAATAAATGACCGCATTCATTTTGATGGGTCAAAGATAAATGACGTCTCACGTTTACATTTCATTAAATTCAATGCACGTTTTATTCAGTCCAGAAAAATGAAGAATCCGTTTTAATTGATGAATATTTCGCAGCATCTGTTCATCTACAATTTCATTGGTCAGATTTTTTTCTTACCTTTCATTTATACAGGTAGTGTCATAGTCATGAGGACCTGTCTTCCAAGAGGGAGGTGTACTTGGCAGCTAGGTGAGCACAAGGGTGAGATGAAGTTATATGTTTTTTACCGGCAGGAAGCTCGTTAGCTCGTCAAAAAAAAGAAAGACAAATCCATAAATTAATGGCAGCATAGTATAAGCTGTGGGGTTCAAAGTCTGTGAAAAAGTAGCGGCTTACAGACCAGAAGGTACGGTATTCCTTAAGAGCACTTGGGACTATAATGGTGGTGTTCGACTTTTAAATTTTGGAGTCACCTTGATCCAAGAATGTTGCTACATCCAACTGACCTTAAAACACAAGTTTGGTGTGGCTGTATCTGGGTGTCATTTGCAAGACACACTGAACATTAAATCTCAAAATCACGAGACTGTATGAAATATTATTTTCAACCAAATTGCTTTAACTCCATCTTTTCTCACCAAAAGATGGTTTTAGTCTAAAACTGGCCTGAAAGATGGTGGGTGGCCCCTTTATAAATTACTATGCCTTTAATCTTTAAGACAGAAATTTGTTAAAGCAGAAAACGTATTACCTTCACATAGAAATGAACCGGTAGAGTGGTGGTCCCCACCATCCTCTTCATCAGATAGTCTTTCCAGTCTGAGATGTTCTTCACATCTACGCACGCACATACGCACACACACTATTTAATCAAAGCTAAAAATATTACTGTTATGACAAAATATGCAAGACAATAACATATTTTAATCAATCAGTCTCCACACAGTGTATTCAAAGAACAGTTCAGCTCTGTGTCCATCAGGCACCAGCTCCCTGCTATCCTGCATGAAAAGTGTAAACCTCACTTTGTGGGGGCACTAGCAGCTTGCTTGTCATGGCGCACCAGCCAATTGGGTTGAGGTCTCCTAAAACCAGGCTGCACCAGAAATCATGGCTGCTGTCATGCTCGAAGCCTTCGTATCTCAGCAGAGCTTTGTATCCTGCAGAAGAGATTGGGGGGGAGGGGGGTAGATACGGGTCAAGTGAGGGATTTGAATAGTAAATGCTTCTAGTTTTGGAGAGGCGTGTTTTTCTGGACAGGAATTGAACAAGGAATGCAAGCAAACCTTAATGGTTTTGGTGCAGGACATTCAAGTGGGTACAAGTTACACATAAGTTGTTGTTTGTGTTTTGCTTGACTGGGGCAGTGCAGAGTCCAGTCAACATGTCCAGTTAAGACTCCTTACAGAAGAGACAATTTCTAACACCTTTCGTCCTCTGTGTGGCTACACAGCTCCATGGCATATCGCACACAGAGAGCTCTGCTGCATCCAGAACTAATAACACAGTGATGGAAGTAGGGCTGGGCGATGTATCGAATATACTCGATGTCGATGTATCAAGTTTTTCAATTTACGATGGTTAAAATGGCTCTGTTGCAACAATAGAGTATTAATTGTCCCTAGGTGTGAGTGAGAGTGAATGGTTGTTTGTCTCGTTTGTCTCTATGTGTCCCTGTGATGGACTGGAGATGTGTCCAGGTTGTATACCGCATCTCACACTGTCATATGGGCACCAGTGACCCCCGCAACCCGAAAAGGAAGAAGCTGGTAAAGATAATGGATGGATTAAAAATACAAACCAATAATATAACACATGAATGTATTTAAAGTCTTTCAAGCCCGTTGAATTCCACTGTAGAAAAAAACTCATTTTGAGTATGGAGTGACTCCTTGTTTTTAAAACAAATCCTAAATCAGTCTTTTTGGTGGCAAACTTTTTAACTTAATTTTAAACTTCCACAGTTTTACAGAGAACAGTGATTGCCTAGTTTCTCCACTGCTACAGAAAAATAAAACGCCCACATGAATATACCTCCAGATGTGTTGTTGGGCTGAAGGTGGCTGATGAAAAAAGTTGTGTTTAGCCCAACCCTAGTAACCAAAAAGACACACGAACCTGCAACCTGGATGATGGTAGCAATCCAGTAAACTTTACTGGGAAGAACTGCATTGGTGTTGAGGACCTCCACCTTCACCCCCACAGAGATATCGTCCCAGTAATCACTTAGTGGAGCCTGGAGAGACAAGTTTCTTTAGCCTCGGGTTGTTGTGTCTTACGCCGTCAACAAAGCTTTAGATTCAGAAAGTACCACAGCAACCCTCAGAACCCATTTGTTTTCCGCACTAGAACTTCAGACATGACTCACGTGTGCAAAGCAGGAGACAGGTGCAGCCAGAGATGTTTCCCTCTCCAGGTAGGAGCCCCAATCAAAACCTGGGAATGTTACAGAACAAACTTATTACAAATCAGAAGAATTATTCTAGAGATGCACGATATTATAGACATGGTATCGGTCGATACTAGCGATAAAGTTAAAGATCGGACATCGGCCATTCCATCAAAATAACTCACCGATGCAAAAGACGCCGTTTATATATATATATAAAAATATATATATAAAAATATATATATAGTGGGCGGCTGTGGCTGAGTGGTTAGAGCAGTTGTCCTCCATTGCAAAAGTTGGGGGTTCAAATCCACCAGCAGTCACATTAAAGTGTCTCTGGACAAGACACTGAACCCCTTGTTGCCTCCGTTGTGTGTCTCATCGGTGTATGAATGTGATAAAGCTGATTAGTTTCTTTAGAATGATTTGTTCAATTAGCTTTGTAGAGATCTAATAGAGTGCTGTATGAATGGGTAAACGAGGACACAGATTGTTTTGTGAAGTGTTTTGATTATCTTGATCAGATAGAAAGGTGCTATATAAATACAGTCCATTTAGCGTTACATCATTTTCAGACTCCTTTTTGGCATCTGCATTTGGCAGCAGGCCAAATTGACAAAGAACATGCAGAATCAGAATCAGAATAAACTTTATTGGCATTGCACCGAGATACAACGAGAATATGTACGTACAGTCGTCCGAAAGATGGGCGGACTGCACGAAGCTGCAGCTATAAATAAAATAGCGCAGCCCTATTATTCTTATTCAGAATAATATTTTGCTTAGATGAGAAAAGGAAAGAAAACATGGAGAGACGGTATAAAAAAAAAAAAGATCTCTCACTCCATGTCCTAGACAGGGCACGATTTGAGGCATCAAAAAAACCTACCACAGCAAAGCAACATAAACAGACATTATACATTTACATATAGGCCGGTGAAAACATTGAATTTTTAAAGGAAAGTCGTAGCATAGTCCAGAGACTCCCCTCTCAGCCATTGTCCAGATAAGAGGTGACATTCATCTTCAGCTCAGTTGAGGTTCTGTTACATGTTCACGGCCTTGGGGAAGGGAGGGGTGAGGAAACAGTCAAAGCATCTTTGTTGTTTTCAAAACATTCCAAGAGGAGTTGAGATAAGTTCGGCGTCAAGGCCACAATTTGGGTCAGGCAGAACTCGTGAATTGTTGTTTCTGCCTTTTTAAAGTCTCGCTGGTACATATTCTCTGATGGAACTCCAAAACAGCCGAATTGATCCTTTACTCCAAAAGTCGATCTCACAGCTTCTCCAAGATTATTCTCACCATTCATGAGTGCTGCCAGGAAGATCACAGTCCTGATAACAGCTGCTCCAACTCCATGTAGCAGCTTCCCACATTCAGTCTGAGCACTGTCGAGCTTCAACACATCCACACGTATTTGTAGACAATCCAAGATTTCACCAACCCAAACAGCAAAATAACCAGTTGTCATCATGAATCCAATTTGTTTCCGTCGAGGTAAGAGGGTCCTCCTTACCTTGACTCCTGTTGAGAGAAGTTGATCGATTTTGTTGAGAATAATGTAGTATTTTAATTTCACAGCAAAGAAAGCTATGCAGTCTCTGTAAGTAGGTCTAGGGGAAAAAAAATGGTATTAGTATCGGTTATCGGCCAAATAAGCATATCAGCATATTGGATATCAGCCAAAATCCAATACCGTGCATCTGTAAATTATACAACTAATAAGAACTCGACTCGGGATTGGTTTATGATCTGATGAAGAACATCTGTTGCTCATGAAGTTTATGTTAAAAATTATGAATAAACAAGTTCTCATCATATAAGCTTAGATCTTCATCTAATTGAACTGATCGGAATCAGAAAAGTACAAATTAGGGCTTTAACAGACTACTCGAGTAATCTACACATCAATTCCTAGGACATCTATCGAGTTTTTAAATTTCACGTTGCGTATTCGGAGTGACGTCATTACGTCGCCGTTATGTCTTTGCGTCACGTGATCCGCACCGGTGCGGGCTACAAAATGGATTCCTCCAAGCAGACGGCTGGAGCAGAGCAGGCCCAGTCTTGGCAAACACGTAGAAATGCATCAATAGCATGGGAATATTTCATTAAAGATGAATCTTCCGGTTCAAATACTGTAAGGAAACGGAAAATGAATCAACTTCCTGACAGTTTGGAGCTCGTTGCGAACCGGTATTGCACAATATTCTGAGACCACCGTATATTGTGACCGTAGGGGGCGGTGTTGCATGCACTGTTGTAGGTCACAGAATATGGTGTAACACCGGGTCCAGGCAACCAAACCAGAACCACCTTCCTCTGACCTTGTTTCACAAACAAAAAGCAAAAAATATTAATCTCTAACCCTATAAAAAAAATAAAAAAAATAAAAACATATTACTCTCTAAAACTAAACCTAATGCGCACCACAGCTGGCGGTGGTGCGGGGTGGTCGTCCACCCCACGGTTCTATTTAGTATAGGCGTAGCCCTTTAAGGCTGTCACTGGTGGGTTTATCCCTAGGCGCTCAGTGCTGCACTGAAAAACTTTAGTCTACGCCCACCTGCTATGTGTGAGCCTCTTTCCAGGTCAGCATAAATTACGGTGAAACCGGGTAATCGGCTCCCATTTTTTCTTCAGCCAGATAGCTAGCACTGTCAGAAGAACGAAGAAGGAAAAGCTGTCCAGTTTTGACCGGAACAATCTTTGCTAAGGATGCCTGGGTCTCTGACACGCCAACCTCCGGCCGTCCTGGTGAGCTCTTCTTCCCCGAGGAGGAGCAGACAAGCAGCCTTGTTCATGGTAAGCACCGAGGAGTGCTTTTCCGTGGCGGGCTACAACCCGCTGGACGACGCCATTGCCTTTTCTAATGTTTTTTCCTCGTGGTAATCGAATGATTTCCTCGAAAAAGGTGATGTTAGCCGCAGCCCCACTGAATGTTTTTTCTGTGGCGGCCGCTACCCGCTGGACGACGCCACAGCCTCTTCTTTTTTTTAATTTTTTTTAGATGGTCTCCCTTCTCCCCTTACAGCCATCCTCTCCACACCATTATTATGAAATATTTATTCTAGTGACTATCTAGTGTAGGTTTTTTTTTAATTTTTTTTTAATAGGATAGAAAGAAAGAAAAGACAAAGTAAGACTCCAAAATATAAGAAATATACACAAAGAGAGCACACGGCAAAACACCCAGCCACTGTCTGTTCACCTGCAAAGAACATGACAAAACACAGCAACAAAATACATATGTATAAAGAACTTAAAATATTCATGGCTTTGTAGTAAGTTTCCATAAATATATATACCCATACCTACGCCTATATACATACATACATACATACACATGAATATACATTCATATACATATCTATATATCTACATATAAAGCCTACATAAGCATCCCTGCTTCTATTTGTGTGTGGTTCTGAGAATGCATAAGTGTATAAGGCTTCTCTAATAGAACATTTAATAGTAACTGTGAAGCAGCAGAGACCCGACCCCCAAGACCAGAGGCAGACGAAAAAGGGGGGACCAGAGCCCAAGACCCCAGGAGGGACCCCGACCGCGGAGCCCCCAGGGCCACCCACACAGGAAGAACCACTCACCCACCCCCAAGAACGGACCACAGGGGAGAACCGGAAGATCCCCACCAGCGACCACATACAGTGACCCCCCGGGGCCAACAGCGACAAACTCATAGGCCTCCATCGGAACCGGCCGCACCGATGTAGGTCCAGGTCCGGACACCGAGGCCCGGGCACCGAGGACTCACACCACCCAGGCCAAGGCCCGACAGGGCCAGAGGACCCGAGCCCCACACACGCCCAAGCGCCCAGCCCCCGATACCAAGGGCCCCAAGCGCGCCGGCAGGCAAGGGCACACCCCACCAGGGGGCCGCGCGATAGGGGCGCGATGCCAAGCACCCCCAGTTGTATCAAAGAGGGGGCAGTCCGAGTCTCGGCCTAACAAATACCCATTCATACACAGACACAATCACACAATCCCAACCTCATTCTCACATTCACTCACTCAAAGACATACAATAACGATACATTTCATTCTTATTCCCGATACGCACTCTATACCCCCCAGGTCCAAGACATGTACCCGCCCTCTACAGGGGGCAGCCCATGCCCAAACCCAGGAGGTAAACCCATTCATTCTCGAGCAGAGAAGAGCCAATACCCCAGACCCGGCCCAGGCCATGCCCAGCCGACAGGACACCCCCCCACGATGAAGAGGACACGCCACCGACCACCCCCACACACCGCCAACAACCAAGCACGCGCCCCCAGCCGACCGCCCACCAGGCCCTGGCAGCCACCCCGGCCAGCGGGCCAACCATGGCACCCAAGAGCCAAGCTCAGGGGGTCCAAACAACCCCAGGGAGAGCACAGCGCCAGCACCGCCCACGGCAACCCCCAGACCCCGAATCCCCACATAGTTCTGGTCAACACCCGACGGCCTGCCCTTCTCCCGGACCCCACCCCCGGAATGGCAGTCAGGGAACTGGGGGGGGGAGGGAAAAAAAAAAAATAAATAAATAAATAATAAATAAATAAATAAATTACGGTGAGACCGAGTAATCGGCTCCCATTTTTTCTTCAGCCAGATAGCTAGCACTGTCAGAAGAACGAAGAAGGAAAAGCTGTCCAGTTTTGACCGGAACAATCTTTGCTAAGGATGCCTGGGTCTCTGACACGCCACCTCCGGCCGTCCTGGTGAGCTCTTCTTCCCCGAGGAGGAGCAGACGAGCAGCCTTGTTCATGGTAAGCACCGAGGAGTGATTTTTCGTGGCGGGCTACAACCCGCTGGACGACGCCATTGCCTTTTCTAATGTTTTTTCCTCGTGGTAATCGAATGATTTCCTCGAAAAAGGTGATGTTAGCCGCAGCCCCACTGAATGTTTTTTCTGTGGCGGCCGCTACCCGCTGGACGACGCCACAGCCTTTTCTAACATATTTTGTCCTCGCGGTAATTGAATGATTTCTTCAAAAAGGTGATGTTAGCAGCAGCCCCGCTGAATGCTTTTCCGTGGAGGGCT